AAATGAATGAGAAATTGAAATTCGTTATATAAGTTCACATTAATAGTATTATGCTATCTTTAATCGGAATAAAATGAAATGCTTTAAAATTGTAAAATTTCAAAAGAAGGATTAAATTGATATCGTCTAATTGCCATAGCTTTAGTTATCAGTTACTGGTGAAAGTAAATTAATTCTCTCTAACAAGCTTGGTGCTTTAGTAAAACACATCTTTTATACTCTTCAGATTAACGGGTACATACATGTATGATATGAACCGCGTCACGACAAAACCAACATAGTGCGTTTGCGACCAGCATGGATCCAGACCAGCCTGCGCATCCGCGCAGTCTGATCAGGATCCATGCTGTTCGCTTACCAAGTCTATTACAAGTAGAGAAACTGATAGCGAACAGCATGGATCCTGATCAGACTGCGCATCTGTCTGGATCCATGCTGGTCGCAAACCCATTATGTTGGTTTTGTCATGACGCGGCTCAATTGATTTCCTTAAAACTGCATTTTAGTAATAACAATGATGGTAGAAACGCTGTTTGATGTTTTTCTAATTTATTTTTCTATGTGATCTTTACAGCTTTATATCTTTAATCGATATTGAAAAGCAAATATTTTATTTATTATGTATACGTTTTCATTTAATTTCGTTTAATTTAAATGAATGAAAAATGAACAACCTACAAAATACATGGATAGTTCGAATATTCAAATATTTGAAACGGATAAATAACTTACGTTGCAATTTTTCATGAACAATTTATTTGATTTGTTCTTTTATAAAGCATGCTCTTCTCATTTTGTAAACGTTAGACGAAAACAAAGAACTTTGTTTTTTTTTCAATGAACAATTGAATTGAATCTGTGTGTAAATTTTCAATGAAATTATCATTTGTTTATACCACTTAATTTGTACTTATTCAACTTTTGCGTTTCTTCATTGGTATTGGTGATCCCTGACTCTTAGACGCGTTGCTCTGCAAATTTACAACTGCTTCAGGAACGGCTATCCATTAGTGTTATGTATCATCTAGAACAATACGTTACAGTTAAAGTAAGGATTTCAGTATCAAATACAAACATTCAAACACATCAACTATGAACATATTTGATATTAGTAAATATTGATAATTGCTACACAGTCTCTTTGTTAACATAAAATAAATAGCGGATATTGAATAAATGCAGGTTCAATACTGAATTTATTGAACAAGTTGAATAAAGTATGATAAGTGAGCGAGCCTCTGGCGAGCATAATATTATCTTATTCAACGTGTTCAATTAATTAAGTAAACAAATCTACACTACTATAATATTCTATTTACAATGTATCACATACCGTAAATAAAGACTTTTTAAAGAAGAAAACAACCATTTTTTTATTGACGCACTTATATGGGTAACGCTAATAACGCTTTAACACTTAGCAGTATAGAACATTAATGGTAGCATAACTGGCTCATAACAGGGGTTAAAGTCCAATCACTTTTGATTCGAACGTGTTAATTGTTATCAATTAGTTTAAATATTATTTTGTTCCGATAATTAATAATTTATGTTTTTGTTTTTTTTTTTGCAAAGATTACTTTGTTACGTCAGTTACTTCAGAAAAGGAATCATGTGTTAACTAATCTCTATTAAAAATGTTTCTCCATTCAACTTGCGCCCTAAATATGTAAGTGTACCATGTTTCCAAAATGATAAGGAAATTGGAACAGGAAAGCAACTGTTCCCTTTTTACATTTAGCTCTGTTTGTAGGCTCTCAGGAATTTACACTATTACATAATTTATAAATAACAAACTCATCCAATATAATTTGGTTTACTTCAATAACATTTATATAGAACAATGATAGTAGGCATGATAATTATTGCCAAACCTCCGATCATTTAAATACATATTCCCTTGTTGGTATGTGTCCTTTCCTACTAAATATATAGAATGTATTCAATGTATGTCTGAAAACACCAAACGATTCAACATTAAACCAAAATAACACAATACAGCAGTCGTATATTATTACTTCCAATAAATAACAAGACAACAGAGACAAAAAAAGACTCCCGCTGTTGAAATTTAGAGTAATAACGATTTATCCCCATTTAAAAAAAAACATTTGGACGGTAGTTTGAATTAAACACTGCCGTCAATGGACAGGTTCGACCAAACCGGGTATTTTCTCCCTCTCGTTTTTGCTGACCATCAATGATGTTATAAAAGATATTTATAGCCAGCTTGATCTACAAACTGTCACTTTATATTGTACAGATTCCTATGACTTTCAAGTTGAGACAGTTGTTTCGTATTGTCTTCATCACGGGGGAGGAAGTGTTACACGAAAGATGGAGTTCTTATGATAACTTGTTCAGGAGTTCTTGTGATAACTGTCACGGAGTTCGTCGGAAAACATCTGTATATACTACAAAAACACTCGTTAAAAATGGTTATTTTCATCGTTCAAAAATGAGTTTAGGTGCTAAATTAAACTTTAATGATCAAGCTTGTCTTACATCTTGTATTATGTGTCAAAAACTAATTCACAGGCCATTTTTCATCGCCTCTTGCTTCAAATCTGGTAGTTTTGAGTAAAATTTCTAAATTACTTCCCAATTCACAAGTTTTGACCGGTTTATTTCTGGTCTTCATCCTTGCCATACATAATTACCTAATTATAATGCAAAATTGCAAACATAAAGCACCGGCTAACAGATTTATACCCGATTTTTCAAATGTCCCGGAGTTCTTGTGATAACTTTTGTTATTGCCAGTGTGTTTCTTGCACTAAATCACGGCCCGTTAGGGCGTTTATTATCATTCAATAAGATTGTAAATCATTATGAAATGCAGTACGATCATCCTTTGCACAAAAATGTAGATAAAACGTTGGTCTTAAGTGTTTGCAAAGGATAAATAGGTGAAAGGCTATCATCTTCAGTAAAAATTGAACCAGCGGCCACTGATATTCAGCAGTATAATGGCTTAAACCACAAAACAAAAATGTCTCAAAACGTACACGTTGTTCTCAGTTTTACATGTTTTAAGCAACCACCTTTCTTAAGCAGACAATATATAGGCATGCTTCCCTTACCTAAGGGCTAAGTAATTTGTATCATTTTATAACATAATAAAGTATATAACAAGCATAATTTCCACACCTATGTCTTAAAAAAGTACGATACATGATAAAAACTCAACTGCGGTTGGCTCTAACTACCGATCTCTCGAACAAATTTGTCCCTCCAGGTTCGAGCGAACTTAGTTTGGCTATATATTTTTGTTATCAATTACAGCAAAAGTAGCAGAGTTTCCTCCCAAACATCGACAGAAAAATATACATGAAAATACCATATTTGAGTATTTCAAAGCGCATTTTATCACGTACATAAATGCCCTACTTGTTTCATAGCAGTTCCCGGCCCCAAATCGCACTTTGTAACAAATAAAATAAAAATCTGTCTACCGAAGAGTGCAAACTTTGACAAAACAAAGTTAGGTACCTGTCCAGCATTACCTTGTTTTAATGTTGCTCTTTTATTTTACATTTAATGGAATAAAGGCCTGAGATGTTACACCTTTGCTCACTTATTCAAAATTTCATAGCAGTTTTTCGGACCTTTTTTATTTTGAATATAATTCAGTACAAATAAGCAATGTTAAGCTGGGTTTTTCAAATAGATATAACTTCCCAAACTTTTCCGTGTCGTCTTCAAATACATTGTTTAAAAGTAGTGATTAACCTAGAATGAGATTTTGTTATTGTGCATGGGCATTCAAACTAGAATTCCCCAGGTGTTGCTTGTAAGTGTCGCACGTTCTCTAATGTAACTTAAAACAACAGACAAAACTTTAAAACATATAAATTGCTGTACTATTATAACTGCTGTATTACACAGAAAACAAATGTGTCACTGATTGATGCAGTAACATAGATGCTTAACTGAGAAAAAATAGACTGTATGACTGGATGAAAATGATATAGGGCCAGAATACTGCTAGGAAACCAGAACATAAATCCTTTTTCCAGTCTACGAAATCTGCGTCAAACAAAAAAATACTATGAAAAAGAAACTGGGGGTAAGAAATAATATCTCTTGAACTAAAATTCACTTAAAACCAACATTATATGTATTTATTGTTTGCGCAAAGGATGAGCGTACTACATTTCATAATGATTTTCAATCTCATTGAATAATAAAAACCGCTAAAACGTGCCGTGATTTAGCGCAAGAAACACACTGGCAATAACAAAAGTTATCATAAGAACTCTGTGATATCTTCAGAGATATCACAAGAACTCCGGGACATTTGAAAAATCGGGTATAAATTTGTAAGTCTGGGCTTTATGTTTGTAATTTTGCATTATAATTACGTAATTATGTATGGCAAGGATGAAGACCAGAAATAAACCGGTCAATACTTGTGAATTGGCAAATAATTTGAAAATTTTACTGAAAATTACCAGATTTGAAGCAAGAGGCAATTAAAAATGGCCTGTGAATTAGTTTTTGACACATAATACTAGATGTAAGACAAGCTTAATCATTAAAGTTTAATTTAGCACCTAAAATTCATTTTTGAAAGATGAAAATAACCATTTTTAACGAGTGTTTTTGTAGTATATACAGATGATTTCCGACGAACTCCGTGACAGTTATCACTAGAACTCCTGAACAAGTTATCATAAGAACTCCATCCTTCGTGTAACACTTCCTCCCCCGTGTTCATGATGATTACGATAGCCCTCGTCTACTAGAATTTTCCCCTTTTTACAAATGTCATGTTCGTTTAATGCAGTTCTTCAATAAATTCCATGTTTACAGGGTACACTTTTACGCAGCATTTTACACATAAAATGACTTTTCGCGAATGCCAATCACAACATCATTGTCCATCTAGTGTATGATTAATAATCCGCGTAACACAACAGCACACAATGGGTATATAAATCACTCTATCTTACAGACATTGTGTCTTTCTTTTTCAATTATTGCTGCTTTTTTGATAATTCCTAATTTCATAAATTTTAAATATACTTTGTTTCATTTTCATCAAAACGAAGTTGTCTCCCCGTTTCCCTTTTTATAGCACAATATGAGCGTTTTACTAGGAGAAGATTTGTCAACAGTGGAGTTATACCGTGACGTGATCGTTTGATTCAGACTAATTGCGGTGTTTTCCTTCTTAGAACCGAGGTCCAAAGTGTCGCGGCGTCTTCTCCAGGAGTGCTTCATTAGTCCTAAAACCTAAGAGCAGAAAACGAAATGTTTTTATGAAATGCCAAACACAGAATATAAACAAGAGGGCCATGATGGCCCTGAGGTCGCTCACCTGTATATAGCCCCCCCCGGGGCCAATTTTTACCCAAGGGCTTTTATTTGTTTATTTGAACAAACTTGGTAGATACCCATAAGAAGATGTTTCATGCTAAACATCTAAGTTCTAGCTCATTGGGTTTTTTAAAAGAAGATTTTTTAAGTTTTTACTATACACATATAGTTAAAAACAATGACACCCCTGGGGCAGGGCCAGTTTTGACCCCCGGGCTTTTTATTTGAACAAACTTTGTAGATATTTACTTAAAGATGTTTTATGCTTAATATCTAAACTCTAGCTATTTGGGTTTTTTCAAAGAAGATTTTTAAGTTTTTGCTATACACATATAAGGAAAATCAATGACCCCCGGGGCGGGCCAGTTTTGACCCCAGGGCTTTTATTTGAACAAACTTGGTAGACACCCATTAGAACATGTTTCATGCTAAATATCTTAGCTCTAGCTCGTTGGGTTCTTTAAAAGAAGATTTTTTAAGTTTTTACTATTTGCATATAGGGAAAATCAATGACCCCCTGGGGCGGGGCCAATTTTGACCCCAGGGCTTTTATTTCAACAAACTTGATAGACATTCACTAGAAGATGTTTCATGCCAAATACCTAAGCTCTAGCTCTTAAGGTTCTTTAAAAGAAGATTTTTTAAGTTTTTACTATATGCATATAGGGAAAATCAATGACCCCCTGGGGCGTGGCCAATTTTGACCCCAGGGTTTTTATTTGAACAAACTTGGTAGACATGCACTAGAAGATGTTTCATGCCAAATATCTAAGCTCTAGCTCTTACAGTTCTTTAAAAGAAGATTTTTTAAGTTTTTACTATATGCATATAGGGAAAATCTATGACCCCCTGGGGCGGGGCCAATTTTGACCCCAGGGCTTTTATTTGAACAAACTTGGTAGACACTCATTAGAAGATGTTTCATGCCAAATCTAAGCTCTAGCTCTTAGGGTTGTTTAAAAGAAGATATTTAAAGATTTTTCTTTCGGTTGCCATGGCAACCAGAGTTCTGTATGGAATTAAATTCTTTGAACAATTTTTAAAGGTGACCACCAAAGGAACATTCCTGTGAAGTTTGGATGAAATTGGCTCAGTGGTTTATGAGGAGATGTCATTTAAAGCAAAAGTTTACGGACGGACGACGGACGGACGGACGCCGGACGAAAAGCGATCACAAAAGCTCACCCTGTCACTTTGTGACAGGTGAGCTAAAAATGCAATAAAAATTAACGATATATTCTCAAATATAACTTAACATTTACGAATTTAGTAATTTAATGTGACCTTACCTCGCCATTGCAAAGGCAAAATATCAAAGCTACACACATTCCCTGAAAATAAATAAAACAATAATAATAAAACTTTTTGTTCAATGGCTTAGGTAAAATATTTTGTCGCAGAACCAATGTCCAATGACGTTGCTTCTTTGAACTATACACGCAAACGACTTTTAAATGTTTCAAACAATTATTCAAATCGTCTTAATGTTTTCCTTTTATTATAAAAAAAATATCAGAAAATTAATGTTCTTATATCAAATAACAACTTTTCGTTCATTAAAAAGAACAAGTTGCCCCACTTGAAAATTTATATGGCAATCCCCAAAAAAGCATCTAACATTTTATTTTACCTATTTATGTACTTTAACGTTTTCTTTCCCAAAAAACAATTTTCTAAATTAAAATTTAAAATTTCCATTTTTTAATCATGTTCCTTAGAAAGTAATCGTTTTAAAAAATTGCATAACTTTGAAACAAATTTGGGGTTAAACACGTTTTCTCACACATTTCACCAAAAATTCCTTTTTTTTTTTTTTTCACGAAACCCGGGGAAATTCCGGTTTCAAATAACATTTTTTTCTTGTTTGGGGGTTTTTTATTCTTTAAAAATAATTCATCTGCAAAAAAAATAATTTCAATCAAAATCCAATTTAAAGGTATTATCAAAATTTTTATTGTAATTTAAATTGGGTTTTATCTTTTGTGAATTGGTTACAAACCATAGAAAACCCTTTCATTTAGAGATCCCGGAACGACTCCCGGGGGGACCAAACGCCCCCCCAAAAACCCAAAAAAAGGGTTCAATACAAACGTGGCCTTTAAAGCTTTTCTAAAAGAACAAACACACGTCCATGAATGAATATTATTCATATGAAATTTGAGATTAAAAATGATAATGCAAACTGCCATTCCTCTGTACATTGATATTTACATGTAGTTATGTGTTTTGTTGCTTGATAATGATTATTTGTGAATAAAATATTTGAATTCGTTTGAATGGCGTTACAGAAGCGGCTAATTTCTTTTAAATCCAATATTTGTTTGTTTGTTTTGGGTTTTACGTCACATCGACACAGTATAGGTCATATCGTGACAGTCCAGCTTTACTGGTGGAGAAAGACCCCAGGTGCCCTTCCGTGCATTATTTCAGGCACGAATGGGTGCCTGAGTAGAACCACCGACGTTCCGTAAGCTAGCTGGATATCTTCCTCACACGAAAGAATCCAAAGTCCCTGTCGGGATTCGAACCCACAGAGGCATTAACCACTCGGCCACGGACACCCCTAAATCCAATATAGCAATGGGTTTGAAATCTGTAACATGCGCTAGTGTGGATATTAACAGTGTTTGAATGGTCAATTCTAAAGTCATTTAACACTTTTAGTATGGTAAAAGTACCTAATCCATGGTAATGGCAGAATACAAACCTGAAATTACTTGGTTCATTTGGATGTACTTGGAGTTGTGTGAGCAGAATTCGAAGAATATTACATAAAAAGAATATATTTGCCTGAAAGATAAATATTGTTTTTGTATATAATTATTTATAAATTGTTGTTGTTTTCTTTTACAAGATATACATGTATTCTAAAAATACGATAACTGAGAAAGAATTAAAAAAAAATAATAACAAAAATTGAATTCCTTTAAATTCCTTTAAATCCTAAGCGAAAATCTGGTTTGTTGTGTTGTTTGCTATGCCACTGCTTTGGATCTTAGCTGGTGACAAAATTAACCATTTAATGACATCAAACGTATTTGGTACAGTATAGGCACCATGTAAATGACTGATTATATAAAAGATATTTTATCTTCAATGTCTAAATATACATAAAAAAGATATTTGGGAAAATACATTTGCCAGAATTATAAACACAGTGTGCCCATACCTACAAGGATAGATAGATTGAGAACTCTTTTTTGATTCGGCGGGTGTTAATGCGTGGCCGTTCTTAGGTAGTTTGTTAGACGATTGGTCTGGTTTATTCCGAAAATGTTACAATTACTTTTTGCCGTATTATTAAAATATGACACCAAAGGCGTGTGGTATGGGTACACTAAACAATTTCATGGTTGACATTGAAAAGATAAATCTTCAAATTGAATGAATGGTGTTTATCTAAAATCGCTAAGGAAAAATTATGAACATATATAATCATACATACCATTAGGCAAAACAGATTTGGCGTATATATGATCCATTCTTTGTCACCCATGCTTTTCGCCCAGCAACTGTTATAAAACAAACAGAGAGATAAAATATGCAGTGTTAATTTCTAAAATCGCATATAATGACAAGTTGCTTATTCACTAATTTTTGTAAATACAGTTTTTTGTAGTAAAATTAGACTATATATTTTAACACCTGTCATTTTGACATAAACATATTTGTTTATTTCTTTGTTTGTCTGTCTGTCTGATGTTTATGCCGATTTCAACACAGTTTGAATACTAGACAATTAAACACATAAAACACTAAAAGAGATCAAAGTACGTTTTCTTTTCAAGCAGTGTCTATGATAATTTCGCTTAACTTTGAAACATAATTTGATACGCCAATAACTTTATTAAAAATGATAATTTGTCAAGCTAAAAATTTCAAGGCTAAAAAAGAATATTTTTATCGTTTTACTAAATCCATTGCGTATCGAATGGCATTTTATGGCAACTATGATTATAATATACAGAATAGATAAAAAGTAAATCGTAAAAAATCGAACAAGACGTAATTGGAAATTGTTTGAAACTATTCATGGACGTCCCCGAACGTTACATAAAAGTGTAAGGAAAACCATGCCAGACAAAGTGTTTATATTGAAACACTTGGTTTCGATGCAAAATAATAGTCAGTTTATATGTAACAATTGTATCATAGTTTGGGGACCTTTCTGTTGAAAATGTGTCGAGTTAAATCGTATACATATACATGCACCGTGCGTTAACTGGAGTGCAGGACTATTAGTTACCCGCACTCCAAAGCATCCCCCATTGATTGGTTTTTTTGCTGGGGTTTACTTTATTGTGACGGCAAGAAAGGGAAAGCAACAAAAAAGTCATATTTGGGATGCTGTTCATTGGTTTTCCGGGGTTTTAAATTTTTGTGACATCAGGGAAGTGTTTTTTATTTTTTGACATGAAAAACAAAAAAAAGAAAGAAATCAAAACACCCGGCAAATCTGTTTATCTGGGGGGCCCCACGCCCTCGTATAAATCAGATAGCCTCGTGTTTCGATGCTCTTTCTATTACTAACTTGACCGTGCAAATTATTCCAAACTCCGTCATCTTGAATTATACTCAATTAAGGGGACATTATCGACTTAATTCATTTTAACACTTAAATATTTTGCAACGAAATTGGATTACATTCTAGTTGTTTTATGCTAACCGATGGAATAATGTTTTATTTATGATTTCGCCATTAAATCATAAGGATTGAATACTTTGATAATGAAAAATAAACAACAAGAAACGTTTACATTTAATAAAAATATACTTAGTAATTATTTTTTTCACTTTCACATGTTAATTTTCCCCCGCTATATGGTGAAAAAATTTTAAATAAAAAATGACATTAATTTCTATCCCAAATGGGTGGTGTGGTATTTTTCACTTTGAATGGATTGCTTGACAGTAAAATGCTGATCGATTTTTCTCTCTCAAATAACAATGATCCTTTTACGACTTTATGACATGCTGATTACCTTCTTAAAAAGATGTTTGATAATTGTAAAGTTTTTTAAAAAACAAAATTTTGTAGGAAAAAAATTTTCTCCAAAAGGTTTTTTTTATTGGAAATAGAGTTTTTAAAAAAAATGTGGCATTTTATTTTAAACAATAAAATGCACAATGATACACCCCCAAAACGTTAAAACAGATTAATAAAAACATACATAAAAACACATGAAATAAAAATTTAAGGAGTGGTGGTAGCCACTAGAGAAAATGTGATATTTTTATACCAAAGATGAAAATAAATCATTTTAAAATTTTTGAACAAAATTTAATTTCCCGTTTTAAATTTTAAAAACATTTTACTCTTTTTTGACATTTCCCCAAATTTAAAAAAAAACTGGCCCCCCTTTTAAAATTTTGTGTCCCTTTGAACTTTTAGAGGAAAAGAAGGTCCGATAAGAAAACCAGTGGAAAAAAAACGGAAAAATACATGTTAAAGTTTTTTTTTGCAGAACAAAAATTGGGGTTTAAGTGAAAAAAAACAGAAAAAGAAAAACGCCCCAAATTTAAAACACAACATTTTCTTTAATATTTTAATTTTAAAAAGTTTTTATAATAAATTTTTTCCCTAATTTTTCAAAATTTTCCCTTTAAAAAATTGGCCAAAAACTAAGGGAAACCCCAAAAAACAAAGTCGAATTTTTTATAATTATATCATGTACAATTTTAAAAAATATTCATAATGGTGGTTTTTTTTGTTAAAGGGAAAATTTAAAAAAAGGGGGGTAAAACCCTTTTGAAAAATTAAGGGAAAAATTTTGCTTTAAACAAAATTTCAACCCTTGGGAAAAAATAAACCACTGGGAAAAATCTTTTTTTGATTCAAAACACTTAAAATAAAAGTCTTAAAAGCTAAATTTTCCCCAACCAAGGTGGGGAAAATGAAGTAAAAAATATCAAATTAAAAATCATTTGCTTTTTAACATTAAGAATATTAAATGTACTCTTAAATAGACTATAAACGAAATGTTTTGAAAATCACCAATAGTACAAAGACACAATCGAGAGCAGGGTAACCCCTTATGTAAGGCAATGATTAAGGAGTTTCAGCTGTTTCGTATCAAACCAAAAACAAACAAAAACACATAAAAACAATAAAATTAATAACTTCAACAAAAACAAAAAAAAAAACAGCCCCGAAAAAAAACAACAACAAATATAAAAAAAAAAAACAAAAAAAAAAACACACAATGCAATATAGGTCAAACATGTAAGTTCAGTTCATTACAGTAAAACATCTTGTCCATCAAATGTCCGACACTTTTTCAGTATCAATTAATACAGTTTCGATGCTTTATGGAAATCTTTTGCGTGACACATTTTCGCATACTTATTAGACTATCACAGTATATCCATGAGAAACATATAATTTTAGTCATCTGTTACACGTCTATTAGAACATCACTTTGAGCAAGCCAAACCCAAATTTTTGTAAAAAGGGGCCCCATATCCAAAAGATTATCCCTTTTGGGTTGAAATTTTTTAAATTTTGGAAAAACCGTTAAAAAAAACGGGGCCCCCGAAAAAAAAAAATGTTTTAAAGTTTTTTGCTAGCACAAAGGGTTTTTCCCTTTATTCTATTAAAAAACACCCGTTGTGAAAGGGAGGCCCTTTTCTTTTTTTATAAAAGGTCAAACCTTTTTTTAAAAATAAGAAAATGTCAGTTTAAAAAAAAATTTACAAAACAAGTCCCCATCACTATGGAAACAATAAGATTTTTGAAAAAAAAAAGAAGATTCAAAAAGATATAATCAATTTTTTCCCTTAAATTATTTTGTTTTATGTACTTTAAAAGGGACTTCCGGTTTCTTCCTCTATTAAATGAAAACTATTGGACGAAAGAATAAATATAATATTATTTATAAAATCAGATCCCCTCCCCCGCAAAAACAAAAACAAAAAAAAAAAAACAAAAAAAAAAAAACAACAAAAAATCTCATAACAAAAACACTCCAATGAGTATCTAAATCATTGTTTATAAAACCTACTACGAATTTTTTTCACAAAACTTTGAGAATTAATTCCGGAACGCTACGGATATATTATGGAAAGACTTTAGAGCTTATAAAATATCTTTATACTCTTTTGTTTTAAAGGCACATTATGCGTCAGAAATGCTATCCTTTTTATTTCTCAAAAGTTTAAATATTTGGTGTCTTGTTACGATTTGGTCCACAAAAAATATACTTATTTACCGGTCCATATAAATGAACTAAATCTTTGCATTCTTTTGCTTTGCTGGCAATCGGTATAATTATAATGAATTAGTATTTTGTATGGAAGTCAAAATACTATTTGTTTACATTTCGCTACCTTTACGACACATTACTGCACATTCAGCACTTCTTTCTTCAGCTGTTAAATATCTTACATGTTCTTAATCCATTATTAAAACGTTATTAAACATGTGCTTTACATTTCTAAAGAATTTAATAAAAAAGGATTTCTGAGGCATAATGTGCCTTTAAAAGAAAGTAATTTCAATAAAAGTAAAAAAATGTATAGAAAATGAGAAGCGTCAATTCCGTTTTATCTTAGGATTCAATTAATGTTCTGTCACTATTTTTGTAATGAAAAAATCGCCCTGTGTGTGTGCGGGTGTGTGTTTTTGTTTAAAAAATAAACAATAATGGGATACCAAACTGAACGGCCAGCAAAGGCAAATTGCTTGTCGTTTTATAATTATGCTGAATATAAAAAGTTGGAGCACATATTACCACTGGGCTGCAAGTCTAGGAAATAATTATTTTCTATAGTTTATCATAGTTTACAGATGACTATCATACAAATATTGACATTGAAATATAACGGAACATGACAATTTGCCTTGTTGCAGGATGTTTAAATATTCTGATAAACTTTAAATAAAAGTGGCGCATTAATTTACTTGAATTATAAATTGCTATCTTGCGTTTCTTTTATTTTAGGAGAAAATATAATTAATAAGAGATAACGTGTTTTCGGAGAGCCTGTTCTGTTGGTTGATTTCGTTCTGGCGTTTTCCATACCATATTATTTATTCGGTAATGATGAATAATTGGCAACTTATTCCTTATATCTGTATTTGAGGACGTTAGATATACTCTTATCATTTCGACATATGTTCTGTATGAACGTATATTTTGTCGAATTAGCGATGCCATAACTCTTTAAAAATTGAGATAGCATTTACATAAAGGCATGAAAGGAAATTTAAATATTAAACATTTTCAATTCAATGTTGCATTTTGTAAAATCTGGTTAATGGGCATGCCACAAATATTGCCTTCGTTTTAAAGTGCACTTTAATTGCCAAACAATGTAATGATATTTGAGATCTTAATGGTTTAAATGGATAACTTTTAACAGTAATTTCAAGCTCAATTATAAAAGTTACAAACAATTGCACCTTGTTTGTCTAGCAATCGTTAAATAGTATTAAAATCTGGCAACTATAATGAACATTTATCAAACACTCCGTTTCATCTACATTACCCAATAAAAAAAACCTTAAGATTGT